AAATAGGTGCCAAGTGTTAGAATAGCTCGAGTTCCTCGAGGTCAAAATAATAAAGCAGGTTATCTGGCCAAATTGGCCAAGGAAATGGCGAACATCAAAGAGGAGAGGCCTATGTTCACTGCTTCATTCTAGTAACAACAAACTACTTCTCGAAGTGGGTGGAAGCTGCTCCATTCAGTGAAATTATATCTGTCCATGTGATCAATTTATTTACCCATAACATTATCTACAAATTTGGGGTGTCACACCGCATAATCATAAATAACGGTATATCTTTTAAAAGTACAAAAAATTTATAAGTTTGTTGATCGGCATAAGATCAATTGGTGGTACTCATCAATATATAATCCAAGAGAAAATAGCTTGGGAAAGGCCTTCAACAGGATATTTGTGAAATTGTTAAAGAAGATCCTTACCAAGTATAAAAGAAAGTGGCATACAAAGATGGTAGTAACACTATGGGTGTATCATATAACCTACAATATGCCATCCAAAGCCAATCTTTATTCACTGATATTCGGAGTTGAAGCTGTATTGCCACTAGAAGTTGAACTACTGTCATTCCGGGTAGCAATCCAGAATGATCTCACTCAGGAACAAAATGCTTGCCTGAAAATGGAAGAGCTCAATGCACTCGATGAAGTTAGATTGCAAGCTCAACAAAACTTAGAAATCTACCAAGCAAGAATGACAAAATTATTTGATCGAATGATGTGTCATCAATTATTTCAAGAAGAAAAATTGGTCATGGTGCTGAGAAGGCCAATCACCCCACACCAAAAAGTTGGTGGCAAATTCGTATTAAGGTAGGAGAGCCCCTTTGTTGTTGAGAAGGTGTACCAATGAGAATCTTATCAATTGTTCAATTTGGATTGTTAGAGGCTTATGCCACCGTTCAACGGTCGATATTTAAAAAAATATCATGCTTGAAATTTTCATATTCGATGTAATATACACTGATCAAAGTGTTATATGCATATTTATAAATGCATATTTATATTTATATTTTGAAATTCTCTTGTGTAGTAAGAATACATTTCAAAATTTCCTAAAAAACTAAGTACATTTTAAATATTTATTCGGGTCGACATCGTGTTGCATGCCAAAATTCTTGAATAAATATTTCAAATCTCAAAATACAAAACCTCCAAAATCTCCCTACAAAATAGAGGTCATTTTAAATATTTATTTGGGTTGTTATTGTACTATGCATCCAGATCCCCAAATAAACATTTAAAATTTCAAAATTCCAAATTTATTCTATCCTAAAATATCAAGGCTTTTAAAATCGGACCGGACCGGCCAGTTCAACCGGTTGAACCGCGAACCGACTGGCCGGCCGGTTACGGTTCAACTGAGAATCGTTTTCACGTCGAACCGGTCTCGGACCGTTCGAACCGCCGGTTCGACCGTTGAACCGGAAAACCGGCTCCGATTTCTCATAACCGTTTTCACATCAAAGGGTTCGCTTCTTGATCGACGACGGCTGTGCAGCATCTTCGTCAGAGGTCCGCCACTGACTCTTTTAATAATTTTTAATTATGTATATTTATGAGTCATTAATTATCTATTAAATCAAAATAGTGTTATTATATATTAAAGCTCTAAAATAATTTGATCAAAGTATACTCACAACCACTGGCCGTTCCATTCAACGCATTTACCAACATGTCAAAATGTCTTATTATATATAGCAAAATAATTTGGTCTTTCACGGTGTGGGACTAAAAAGATGTTTTTTTCTTATGAGGGGAATATTTAAATATAATAAATCATCCGGTTCGACCCCGGTTCGACCCCGGTCGAACCATCAAACCTCTAACCCCTCCTTCTTCTGGTTCATTGACCGGTCCGGTTTTAAAAGCCTTGTAAAATATCACTATGAGATAAGGGCATTTTAAATATTTATTCAAATTGACATCGCGTTGTATGCTGATATTTTTGAATAAATATTTAAAACTATCAATACAAATATTCTTTTATGCTGAAGATTACATTTGAATGTATATGCATGTGATCTTCTAAAAGTTTGAGACACCGCCTTTTTTAACATACAAAGATTTAAAAGTCAAGAAAGAGACTTTTGCGACTACATACTCCAACAAATTGAGCCAGAATAGCTTAAAAACTTTCATCAGCCTGAAGCTTAAGGTTCGAATGGGTGTGAGAGGCTAGATCAAATATGCCCAAATATGATCAGATCGCTGACAATTCTGTCTACTCAACACACCATAAGAAAAGTCACAATAGAGGAACTCCCACTTCATTAACCCGTCAATATGGACTGTAGGAAGTACGAAGGCTTTCTTGACTTGACAAGCTCAAGTGATCGTAGTTTACCAAATTCTCCTAATTGACCAAAGAATCCACGTTCCAATAGGAAGGAGGACTCACGAGCAATTACCGTATGTGCATGGACTCCAAACCCTCAACCATAAAGGAGGATACCAAATCTACCAACTTCAGTAGATTTAATATTGGGAAGCGCATTTCCCATAGCTCAATTTTGACGCCTAAATGGCTGTAAAAGGTCAGATTTAATAAGCCCAAATATAATTGAATCATTGACATCCCTGTCTACTAAGCATACTATAAGAAAAGTTGTAGTAGAGGAACCCCCATTTTAACAACTAGAGGATGAAGAGTTATGAAATCCTAGTTCACCCGATCTAATAAACTCGAGTGATTCAGTTAAAGTTTTCTCAAATGATTAAGGATCAAGATATTACCTATATTTAGTACAATTGATTAAATATGAAGGATAAAAGGAATTTTTTTCAACAAGTTAACCAATGCACAAAGCAAAGGATCGAACAAACTATTCCAAAGTTCATGTAAGACCTAAGGTTGAACTAAGAGAATTCTGCCATTAATAAGTCCATTAAGCACAAAACTCTGGACCAATGACTACTCGCCACTGACCTAGTACAAACCTTAAAGGTTTTAGATCTCTGACATATACTTCTTCATCAAGCCTGCCAAAGTAAAAAAACATATGGCAGAAGGTACAAAACCACCTGATAATTTAATAAAAATAAATAAGATAATTCTTCATCAATATCTATAGCACAAAGCATATGACAGAAATAACCAAAATCTCAGGACCCAAGCTTAAGCTATAAAAAGAAGCACCCTAGATGATATCTACCACCATTAATCTACAAGGTAAATACTCTAGGGATCTAAGTATTAAGTACTCTATCGCCATCCTATGTATCCCTACTTGGTTAAAGCCCACATGCATTTCATATGGATGATTACAAGTGTATCCAAAGATCTATAAAGGCACAAAAATATAGTCTTGGAGATCTACATAATGAAATACTTAGCATGACATCCAAGCAAGCTTTTGGAAATCCACTAAATAGAATGCTTTGTATGAAATGTAGATCAAGTATTTAGAGATCAACAGGATCAATTAGCATGTAACAAATGTGATTCACTCTAGACGCAAATCACATTTGTTGGGGTAATTATTGACTTCCACGTAAGATAAAAAAAAGACTGGCAAATCATTACTTGCCTCTGCCAAATCCTATACCCAGCCGCTCAAATCCCATATGATATAGTTTCCCATCTCCTACATTTAATGTCGTTCATAGATGTACCCAAGGATTTCAAAACCGGACCGGACCAGCCGGTTCAACCGGTTGGACCGTGAACCGGCCGGCCGGCCAGTTATGGTCTGGCTAAAAATCGCTTTCGACGAGAACCGGATTTGGACCATTCGAACCGCCGGTTCGACCGCCAAACCGGTGAACCGGGACCCGTTTTAGTAACCGGCCGGTTTGAACTTTAGCGATTTTGAGCCGTCTGATTTAATCAGATGGAAGAGATTATACAAGGTTAATAAAAAAGAGAAAACCAGAAACCCTATTCATCGTTTCATTTCCCAGTTCGCTGCTCCGAGTCGTGAGTCGCGACTCTTCCTCCCTCCAGCCTGTCGCGACGCCGTCGGCATTGCCATTTGCGAAGTGCCGAAGCGACTGAAGGCATCCTTTGCTTGGTCAAGATCTCCTCTCCAACCCATAGTAAGTTTTTCAATTTCTCCTCATTGCATTCGGTGGTCGGCACATGGATTTTTTCCGCTTACTTTGGTTTAAAGAATAATTTTACCTAATCGATTTTCTCAATTTTCATCCGAGATTAATCAGCTTGTCTAATTACTGTCTCAAACTATCCAAACTGATCAAATACAAACCTATCTACCGCAATTTTCATCGTGAGTTTAATCGGCTTGTCTAATTACTGTCGCAAGAAATACTTCAGTAAACTTACCTAAAAACCCTAGATTCCAAAAAAAAAAAATTAACAAAAAGCCTATCTAGAAGAATGACGGAGAAAGATGATAGAGGCTGTGGTCGGCACATGGATTTCTCCTCATTGCATTCGGTGGTCGAAGCAGAGAGATCACCTTCTGCCGCAGAAAGAATTTCTATAAACCTGCTGGATGATCAATAAATAATATTTTAAAAATATGGAAATTTCTTAATGGCACTGATTGGGATTTCTGAAAATCAAAATTGAAAATTCCTCTTTATTAGGATTTAGGATTTAGGAATTTATGACACTTGAGTGGATGTACTATGCATAGTTTTATTTGATCCTTCATATCCAACATCCATTTTGGGCGAGATGAAAAAATGACTCCTGAATGTTAGTTCTTACTTATTTTTGGTTAAGCTAACTGGAGATGAGATAATGGGTATGTTTTTCATGTTTCTTTCTTTATTTTTTGATTTTATTATTTTAGCTATTGAACACAGTACTCTAAAATGGATCCACAAACAACTTAGGCTCAAAGTGTGCGTGAGAAGGTTGATATAGCTTGAAGTCATTGTACGGAAAGTAAAGGATCAGATGGAAAAAAACAATTTAGATGCCTCCATTGTGGGATTACTTATAAAGGTGGAGGAATTAACAGGATTAAACAACATTTAGCAGGAATCAGAGGTAACATAGCTTCGTGCAAGAAAGTCCTACATGACGTTCGTTATCAGATGCAAGAAAATTTGAATGAAATAGGGAAGAAAAAACAACAAGCCCAAGAGGAGTTAGAGCAGAACACAACTGTGTTTGTGGATGAAAATATGGAAGAAGAAAGAGGCTCTTCATCACTTCCCAAATCACAATCCTCTGATGCACACCATGAAGGCACTAATAGAGGGAAGAGAAAGCTAGATAACATAGACAATTTTTTTGCACCAAGAACTAGAGCAGGTTCTCAGCCATCATTGAAAAGTGTAATGGCATCCAAAGAAGCCATTCACCGTGCTGATTTAGCTGTTGCACGGTGGTTTTATGATATTTGCATTCCATTGAATGCCATAAACTCTAATTTTGCTCAAAAGGCAATTGATGCTATAGCTGCAATTGGACCTGGATACAAATTGCCTTCATACTACAAATTGAGAGTTAATCTGCTACGAGATTGTAAAGAGGAATGCAGGTTGTTGATTGATTCATACAAACGATCTTGGTCAGAAATAGGTTGCACACTTATGGCTGATGGCTGGACAGATAACAGGAATAGAACCTTGATTAATTTTCTTGTGTACTGTCCAAGGGGTGTAGCTTTTTTGAAATCTGTGGATGCATCTGATATCACGAAGGATGCCAAGACTTTATGTTCATTATTTTGTGAAGTTGTTGAATGGATAGGGCCACATAATGTTGTGCAGCTTGTGACAGATAATGCTGCAAACTACAAGAAGGCGGGGGAACTACTACATGAAAGATTTGGCAACATATATTGGTCTCCATGCTCTGCTCATTGTTTAAATCTCATTCTTAAAGATATTGGAAATATGTCTCATATTCAAGATCTAGCACAAAGAGCATCAAAAGTTACCATTTTTGTGTATAACCATGTTTTTGTTTTAGCATGGCTAAGAAAAAGAGATGGTTGGAAAGAAATTATTAGGCCTGGAGCAACTAGATTCGCTACAACATTCATCACTTTGAAAAGCATGGCTGATCACAAGCTTGACTTACAGGCTTTCATAACAAGTAAAGTTTTCTTTGATTCAAAGATATCCAAAACAGTAAAAGGGAAAGAGGTATCAGCTATCATTTTGGATAATAAGTTTTGGAATGACTGTTTGCTAACTTCCAAATTATCTGGGCCTTTAATTCGGTTATTGAGAATTGTAGATTCTGATGAGAAACCATCTCTGGGCTTTCTTTATGATGGCATGTACAAGGCAAGGAAAGCTATTAAGTTAATGTTTAGAAATGCCAAAAGGATGTATAAACCTTACACAAGTATTATAAAGAGGAGATGGGATAGGCAGTTAAGACAAGGCATACATTGTGCAGCTTATTTTCTTAATCCACATTTTCAGTAATGATAAAAAGAAAATAATTTTGCCAGAAAGCTGAAATAATGCAAGGTTAATGTGAGCATGATTGGAAATAAGGATATCTGTCCTAATACTCAACAGTCAACAATGAATGAAGTTAGGCTTTTCGTGACAGTTTTGGAAAGCTTTGGCAAACCAATTGCACTAACAATGGCCAAAGAAATGCAACCTGGTAAGTGAAATAAATATTTTAATATGTATTTCACTATTTCTTGATTCATGCATATAAAACATTAACTAACTAATTTATCTATTTGTAGATGAATGGTGGAAGATGTTCGGATTCAAGTGCACCAACTTACAGAAATTGACAGTATGAATTCTTAGCCAAAATCTTCTTCTTCTGGGATGTGAAGAAATTGGAGTGTATTTGAACAAATTCATACAAGAGAAGAAATCATTAGAGATCAAAGGGCTTAATGATCTTGTATTTGTTCGATACACCTTAATTTGAGGCATAGGTATGACTATATGCTTTGTTTGCTTGTGACATCATTCTTTTTGCTTGTATGACTTAATAATCTTTTTAATATAATTTAGATTTTCAAACAAAAAAAAGGGAATTATGATCCTTTGGATTTACTAGACATAGAGATGGTGGATTTTTGGGTGCTTGATAAAGAACCTGTTTCAGAGTTGTTTTGAAGAATTTAGAGACTGAAAATTTATACAAGAAGAATGTCATTCCTATCTGATGAAGAAATTATACTAGTTCTACTAAAGAACCTCAAAGTAAGCTTTTAAATCTAAGTTATAGTATATACTTATATCATTTGAAAATTAAAAGAGGATGTTAAAATATTTTATATTTCTAATATGCAGAGTAAGATGTCCTAATGATGTTGGAAAATGACAATGAAAGACTTGGCAATTGAGATATTGATGCATTTGGAAGAGGAATGTTTGATGAACAGGGATTTAGAGTATTAACTTTGATGCTCAAATCTAGGAGAATGATTTCTAATTTTTTTTTGGTGGAATTAATTAAGAGAAACACCCTAAACTCATATTATGTATTATGAATGTGTTTTTTTTTTCTTTCACGATGCACCCATGCTTTTGAATGTTTTTGTGCTTGCATATCAGTGACAGACTGTAGTTTTATACTTTTATTCAATGTATGAATTCCTGTTGGCATAGCTTTAGAGATTTAATAAAAGATTTTGTATTGTATTATAAAGATGCTTCTTGGCAAAACCAACAGAACACTACAAAAATCCAAATCGTATTATAGAAAGATTTCTTTCCTGAAAACCCAACACTTGACAAAAGGTAGCATTCACAAAAGTTCTATATTTGATTAGTTATTTATATTTTATAATTATGAAATATGTTTATATTTATATTTTCATTGACTTATTTAATGTCACATTATATGTGTGTTATTTTTTTATGTTTATAAAATTAATTGATCAATACTTATGTTATTTGATGAGTTGAATATGAAAATGAAATGTGCTAGAGTGAAGTTATTAGAAGGAAATGTCAATCATTTTATAAATTTTTATAATATTAATATATTATTATTTATTACGTCATCCGCTTTACCCCGTTCGACCGTCGAACTTCGTGAACCTCTCCTTCTTCCGGTTCGCTGTGTCCGGATCCGATTTTTTAAAACCTTGGATGTACCACACTCGTCTCAATCCAACAGCCCCATGCTTTTTAAAAGAGCTGTATCAAAAGTTCTTCAATTCCAACTTCTTCACTTTTTCTCCGTACACAATAGCTCTCAAAAGATTTTGAAACCTCCAAACTCTTCACCAATCTTCTGCCCCTTCTTTATTTGTAAGACCCAAACATCGCTACCTTCCGATATCATATTGTCAAGGGGCTCAACCGTGCCATGTCTCCTCTCTGCCCCAAGTGAGACCCAGAGCTCGCCTTAACCCACCACCCTCATATTTTTCTATCTGAACTGAACTAAAGGCCGGACATCTCAATCCGACCTTTAAACACTACCCCAATCCTTCGGTCACATACACACACACACATAGGGGTGTTTGGTATCGAGATTTATTTCGAGTTTTAGTAGGATTTAGGCCTAATCCAGCAACGCAAAAAATCAGCGTGGTAAATCCGTAATCCCGGATTTGCGGATTTACGCCGTAATCCGCTAATCCCGGTAAATTCTAATCCCGCTAGAAGTCGGATTTACGGGATTTGGCCGAAGCAAGCGCGGAAAGGGAGAAACTTACCTTCACAGCGAGCTAGCGAGCTCCCGTCGTTGCTTCAGATCAAATTTTTGTAACGTCTGATCCGACAGGAAGGGGACGTCGTCGAAGGAGCGAAGTCGAACAGCGACGAAGGAGCGAAGAAGCCGACACCTCCTGCGAACAACCGAGCGAACGCAAGAAACCCTAGACCTCAGACCTCACTCCTATTTTAACTTAATTAAATATAATTGTTAAAATAATTAATAAACTAAGTAACTAAATTAATCTAAAGTACTTTAATAGTAGAATTAGTGTATAAATTAATTATCTAATTTAACTTAATAAAATAATTAGTAATTAGAAATTAGTATAATTATCTTATACATTATTAAACATAGAATTAATAATATAAATAATAGTTAAATAATTAAAGAGCAATAGAAATCTTAAGTGATTAATGAGATAATTAATAATAAAATTTATAATTTAAACTAATAAAATAGTAATTAAATTATTAATTAAATAAATTAGTTAAAATATTATTTAAATAGTAAGTTAATCCAATTTTAAATCTCCAACCGTTTTAAATCCTATCATCTGTTGCCAAACATCTTTCTAGATTTAACAAGATTTAAAAATTGTCATACCAAACACAATTCAGGATTTAAGAGCCCCGGATTTACTAAATCCGGATTTACAGAATTTAATAAATCCTACTAAAATTGAATCCAATCCTATACCAAACACCCCCATAGAGAGAGAGAGAGAGAGAGAGAGAGAGAGAGAGTGCGTGTGAGGGAAAGAAGAAAAATCTTTCTCCCTACCTCAAAAAAGCTCTTGATCTCCCTTAGCCAAACTCCAGTTGGCCTTCTCGCAAGCCTTCAACAGCAGTCGGACCCAACGCCCCTACCTATTCTGAACCCAAGCAGCCACCGAGACCCCATCAGCCTTTCGACCGTCTCCTCCCAAAGCTTAAATCCCACCTGACCTTTGCCCTAGCCCGCTACCTCCTTTGACTACCTTCCCTTTTTGATAAATTAGAAGTTACGACATTTTTATTGTAAGCAGGGATAGGAGCTTCTCACTGTGAAGGTAACTTACTCCCATCCAACCCTTCTTCAGCTAAATCCCATAGAGCCACTGAACCAGGAGAGGAAAACAAAGGATGATAGTTCTCTGTGAGATTTAATTCTTTCCTAAGTCCTGTTATTAGGATTTAATAGTAATCCTGCTTAAATCCTTTCATAATTATAGTTTATTGTAAGTAAGTATAAATAATTATAATTAAACATTATTAAAATAGTTAATTATGATTAATTATTATTAATCATAATTAATGATATTAATAATAATTAATTATTATTAATTATACTTAATTATTATTAGTTATTAAAAGTTATAACTAAATATAATTAATTGACATTAATTATAATTAATTATTATTATTTATAATTAATTATAATTATTTATGGTTAATTATAATTAATAGGAAGAGAAAAGATTTTCTCTTGCCTTGATCCACGTACCAACTCCCACGGCATTTCCTCTTGAAGGTATAACCCCTCCAAACCTTAAAGCTTTGAGAGCTCTCCTTCGATGCTTGAAGCGTGACAAAACAATCACCTATACAGTCTTTTGTTAACGTGGTGGGAGAAAGTGCGTCGTGATGCTTGCGACAAAGCGAGTGATTCGAAAGCCCCACTTCAACGTTTGCGGCGCACCGAAAAAGTGTCTATACATGCTTTTATTATCATGGTAGGATTGAAACCTTGTGCGGTGCCTACGGTGAGTCGGGGTTACTTATAAATACCCGTACGTGAGAAAATAATTGTGCTTTTAAACAAGTACCCTCGCCGACTCCATACACGTTTTTATTAGCGTGGTGGGAATGAAGCACGGTCGCGGTGTCTAAGGACACATACCATACACACTTTTATTAGTGTGGTGGGAAGGCCCAAACTCCTATTATTTTCTCATAAATGGGAGAGATACTGGGAGACTACTGAAATTCTACCTGAAGATATGTAAGACTTGGAAAATTACACAGGACTTTTATTGAACTAGATTGAACAAATTGGAATCAAACTAAACTTAGACTTGAACAAGATTTATGCAACAAGGAACTTTAATTGAACTTGAACTCGAACTAGATACATGAACTTTATTTGAATACGGGGACTCAAGTGAACGACTAATTGAGCTTAAACGTAATTGAATTAAAAAGGACTATACCTGGACTTAAAATAACCAAATTCATGACAATGGAGAACTTGAACTAAGCATGATATAATGCTTAGAATGAAATCATAATTAAGAGGTTCAAATTAAATACAAGAAAATACATGCAAAACTTTTGATAAATAAAAAACCTACAAATATCATTATCTCACAAATGATAATGAAACTCATGCAATCAATTGATTTGGAACAATTGCATTAGCCACAATGTATAACGAATGCAACAAACACCAACATATAAATAAGTGCAAATGATATCTGATGATTCAAAGAATTCAAATTTGAATGGAACACTTGGAATCAGGCTTTGGTTTAATGAAACAACATTTGGATAATTCCAAGTGATTCGTGAATGAGTGCAAGTTGGAGTGTGATCCTCCCACAGATAATGCAAGTTGACATAGTCAATTGAGGTACAATAAACACAAATGTGCATGGGGCACTGCAAGAGACTCATTTCATCTTTAACATCTCATTTGCTACCAGAGAAGAAAGATATTCATGTAGACACACAAAATTTTCACAAGTCTTCTATAAAGGGTGACAAGAGAATACAACAGCTTGCCAACATACAAATGGACCCAAGAGCCA